ACTCTAGGTGTCAACTTGGTTAGATGAAGGAATGCTGAGGAACCTGGTAAAGCAATCTTTTCAGGTGCATCCATGAAGGTGTTTCCAGCAGAGATTAGTATGAGAGTCTGAGAGGCCTGGGCGTGAAAGACCCACCCTCAGTGTGGGTGGGAACCATCCAATCCACTGGGGTCTGAGGGAACAAAAGACAGAGGAAAGAGGTGAAGCTCTCTCTCGATCCACTGGAGCTGAGATACACTCTTCTCTCCTGTCCATGGACATCAGGGCTTGAGACTCTTCAACATTTGCGTTCCAGAACTTATACCAAGAACACTAATGTAGAAAGGAGAAGTATGGGTGAAGTAGATCTGGATGAAGGTTAGTGTGAATCAAGAATTCAATTTGGGGCATGTTAAGTCTAAAATGTCTTTAGACATACAATAGAGATGTTGGCTAGTTAGATAGTGAGATAGGCCTGGAGATTTGCCTTTGGCAAAAGGTGATTTTTATATCTACAAGATTAGTTGAGGTTATCTACTGAGTGACTGCAACCAAGAAGAAAGGACCAAGAACTGATTCCTGGAACATTCCAATGTTAAGATGTTAGAGAATAAAAACTATTGAAATGCCAGCTTTTCAGAGGCACTGACTACCATATCTGAAATAAAGTGCCCAAATCAGAACCTAATGTTTTTCATTAGTTTTCATAACATTTATTAATATTTGAAATTGCATTACTAATTTATTTACTGCTTTTTAATTCTGTCTCTTCTCAAACAAAACTTATGCTCCTTGAAAGGAAGCACTCCATCATGTTTGGCACTATCTTCATATTATCAAGAGTCTACAGACAAATAAACAATTGTAGTTTATACACAAACTATACTCAAACATCAAATAATCAGAAAATATAATTTAAGAACTTAATAAATACATTGTTTATGATAGCAACATACATATGTTTACAAAATAAATCTCACAATGATATGCAAAAAATTGTGTTAAAGTTTATTAGGAAGGAAGTCCCAATATTGAAAACATTGTAGTAATTTTCAAATTAACCTATACATCCATTAATCAAAGAAAAATTCCAACAGATTCTGTTTATAATATATAATGAGCCAGTTCTAAAACTTCCTTGGCAAGGTATCTCCAGACACCCTTGAAGAAGAATATGATAGGGAAACTTGCCCTACAAGATATCAAAATATATATTCAAAAATATTAAAGAAAACATGTACAATAATGAGGTGTAGTACTAGGGTACTTCAAAAGATTCATGCTATCTTTTAATTCTATTTTTCCACGACCTTTTTGAAGTGTGTGTGTGTGTGTGTGTGTGTGTGTGTGTAAATAAACATCTTATAGTAAAAATTCAAAACATGGACAACACCAAATGCTGGAGATGATGTGGAAAAACAGAAACTCTCATTCATTGCTGCTGGGAATGAAAAATGATACAGCCACTTTGGAAGACAATTTAGCACTTTCTTGTAAACTAAACTTATTCTTACCATACAGTCCAGCAATTGCACTCTTTGGTAATTGCCCAAATGAGTGGAAAACTTATAATCACACAAAACTAACACTGGGATGTTTATAGCAGCTTTATGGATATTTGCTAAAGGGTGGAAGNGGTGAGCCTCATGCTGCTGCGGTTCACTTTGCTAGGCCCCAGGTTATCACCTGCCCCAGGATAACTGTGAGCTCTTGCCACTCCCCTGGTGGATTCCCCTGTGTTTAGTATTCACCTTTCCCAGCTCTACTCACACATGCAAAAGGTAACCCAAACCTGTTGGAGATATGTCCTGACCTTGTTTTCTAAGAAGCTATCTGGTAGGTCATGAGACATAAAGCCATCCTCTGTGAGAGATTTTTTACATTTCTTCTGGTCAGCCCAGACTGATCTCCAGCCTTCTTCAACTTTATCCAAATTTTATTCTTTTAACCTAACCTCAGAGTCTGCATCTTCCTTTTGCCATTTTCCCTATTCCTGATTCTTTTTATGAGCCATAAAACCTCTCCCCCTTATGGCCTTCCTAGTCCCGAACCGGGCTGCTTCCTCTTTCCTCAGTCCTTATCCCTTTATGGGCTGCTTCCTCTTTCCTCAGTTCTTATCCCTTTATTCCCTTTTCTTCCACCCAAATTTCATTTTCTTCTTTCTAATGCAGCCTTTGATCCCCACCTCCACCGCCAAAGAAAAACCACAGTTAACAGCATCGGAAAACTCAGGAGGCTTTTTTATTACTCATCTATTAATTCTATTACATGTCTTTATTCCATTTAATTCAGTTTTAAAAATATATCGGAATAGAAAAATTTATATCTATCTATCTATATGCATATTGTATCTATCTGTATTTGTATCTGTCTATGTTCCTATCTATCTATATTCCTATCTATCTATCTACATCTATGT